GGCAGCACTTTGAGGGTCATGTTCTTTGATTTCTCAAGTGCCTTCAATACTATTCAGCCTGCTTTACAATGTGAGAAGCTCCATAACTTCCAGGTGGATCCTTCCACAACCACCTGGATTTATGACTACCTAACAAACAGACCACAGTTTGTGAGACTGAAAGGTTGTGTGTTTGAGATGGTGGTCAGCAGCACTGGAGCACCACAAGGAACTGTACTCTCACCATTCCTCTTCACACTGTACACCTCAGACTTCCAGTACAACTCTGAATCCTGTCATCTGCAGAAGTACTCTGATGACTCTGCAGTTGTGGGGTGTATCAGTGATGGACAAGAAGCTGAGTACAGGGAACTGGTCAGTCAGTTTGTAAAATGGTGTGGTAACAATCACCTCATCTTAAATACCAGCAAGACTAAAGAGATGCTTGTTGACTTCAGGAGGAGCAAGAACAAGCGCATAGTCCTGTCTACATCCTGGGAGAGGAGGTGGAGGTGGTGGAGAATTACAAATATCTTGGAGTTCAGCTGGACAACAGACTAGACTGGAAATGCAACACTGACTACATCTACAAGAAAGGTCAGAGCAGAGTTTACTTCTTAAGGAAGCTGAGATCATTCAGTGTCTGCACCAAGATGTCGCAGATCCTCTATAAGTCTGTTGTGGAAAGTGCAATCAGCTTTGCAGCCATCTGCTGGGGCAGTAGCATCAGAACCAGAGACTTAAAGAAGCTAAACAAGCTGATCAAGAAAGCTGGTTCTGTGCTGGGGATAACTCTGGAACCACTGGAGCTGATTGTTCAAAAAAGAATGCTGCACAAGATGATGAAGATGATGGAGGATTCTTCTCACCCTCTCCACAACACAATGAAGAACCAACAGAGTGTGTTTAGTGGGAGGCTGCGTCAGCTTCGCTGTCGAAGGAAGAGATACAGGAATTCCTTCCTGCCAACAGCCATCACCTTAAAAAACAAATTTGACTGACTGAATGATTGTTGTTGTTTTATAGAATATATGTTATATTGATTTGAAAAAAAAAAAAAAAGTGAACTTTTACAAGATTGAATTTCCCTTCTGGGATAAATAAAGTATTTTTTATTTCATTCATTCATTACATCAAATGTTGTTATATTTTTATTAATGTGGAAAAAAAGTAACTAGTAGTTGAAGAAAATAAAGGTAGAGTAAAAAAAATGTTTGCCTTTCAATTGTAATGGAGGTAAAGTGTAAAGTTGCAAAAAATGAAAATTCTCAAATAAGGTACAAGTTCAAGGTAATTGGTATTACAGACAATACTTGAGTTAATGTACTTATTTATTTTTCACAACTGTCCTCTGACATATTTTGTGTAAATCATGATGTTTGGGAACTTGAATGATGACAATCTGTACTGACATTTATTGTATGTTTAGTCAATATTATCTTGTTGTATTTTATAAATGGTGGAAAACTACATTTTTTTCAAGGTAACTTATACATTGTGACTTTACCATGAAAGAGGTATATTTTAGTACTCTAGCCTGCTTTGAGTACCTACAGCACTACATTGGATAGATGATTCCAAAAGGAAAAAAGCATCACCGTTCAACAATATCTGCTTCATCTGCAAGGGGCTGCATTACCCAAACAACATAATTCACGGAGTGAATCAAAGGAGGGGAGCTATCATCCACCATCCAGCCTCCAAAGTATTTGAAGTCAGCTTGAAGAGCAGGTGAGTGTTGAGCAGATGCAGCTGCATAGGGAGGGTTGCGTGAGCACTTATCACAGTTCCCAGCCTCTCCGAGAGCCCAAGTGTGCAAATGAAGAGTTTGTTTGCAAAAACATTTAACTGCATTTTTGTAGATTTTCAGAAAACTTAGTTTTTTGTTGTTTGCTTGAGATAATATCAATCAAACTGAAGGTGAGTGGATTTGACTCAGTAGAAATGACATGACAAAAGTAGAGATAACTTAAGCTTGATTGGTATTGTCTCAAGTAGATGATGGAAAAATGTTTTTTCTGAAGGTTTATAAAGGTGAAGTTATGTTTTTGCAAATTAACTCTTCATGTGTATGTGTGAATGGGTGATACCAAGGATCTACAAAGCACTTTACAATGTGTTGTAAAGTGCTTTGTAGAACCTTGCTGAGGTCAAAAAGGCATTTTATACTCTAAGTGTGGACCATGAAGCATTTACAAGATCTACAGAGTCTTGGGATCTGAGAACTGAAGCCAGTGCAGAGGTGTCTGAAGCCTACAGTCAGCAAGGGGTGAGTCCTCTCTGTTTGCGGACAGAAGTCTGATTGTATAGAATTAAAGCTAGCACACTGTTCATTTTATAAATATGGTCCCATTTAGAAGAAAACAGACAATAAAGCAGGATATGCTTTAGGGCAGGACCACCTTAGAAAACAAAGATGGTGACAGACAACTGAACTCAAGGCTTCACAGTGGCAGTCCACAAACCAATTTTGAGACTAATGACAGAAAAAAATAAATATTTTTTAAAGTGAGGAATGCCTGTACATGTTTCACATCTAAAATAGAAAATTGAAAATTTAGGTGAGACAAAATAGTTTGCCTTTTGCTTATCACTAAATATAAATACTGAGCAAAAAACAGCTGTCACAAATTCACCCTAGATATAATTACAAAAACAGGCAAATCATACAAATTAACTTTTATTTGACACAACTCAGCCAGAAAAATATAGAACTCTGTGAAAACAATGTAACATGCCTTTCAAAATGTTTGTTTTCTGCATTACATTTGCTATTGACTTGTGTCACTGGTATAAATCTTACGATTTTGATGGGTTCAAGTGCTGCTTAATAAACTTAGCCTACAATGTTTGGATTTCTGTTTGTTTCTGTGGCCTCACCTTTTATTTGTACCTGGTAACCAACTGCTGATTCCCTTCTTATTTTTGTTTATTAACAATCTGCGTCTTAAATATTCGTACAGCTTTTTAATAAGACAGAATTCTTTACACCTATGCTTGAAATGAAAAACAAAATAAATGTATGCATAAAATGTGAATGTAAATAGCAGAATATGGAGAGCACATTTAGCATCCATAATTCAATCCTGGTATGAACTATACCTCTCTCTGCACTAAAACAACAGATGCTTCCTTCTGCACTTACTGTCATTACTGTAGAATATCAGCCAGCTTTTCATGGTAATACTCATAATTTTCTTTGCAGTCCTCCCACAGGTTCAGAGGTTGCTCATCGTTTTCCACAAACGTGTCCCAGGTGTAGGAGAAGTCCAGAGGCTTCATCACCCTCAGCTTACAGCCAGCAGCGTGCAGGGCCTTTAGTCCAGCCTGGATCTCTGCTTCCTCCCACTCAAACAATCGAGCAGCAAAGATAGTCAGCTTAATGTTTTTCCTGGCCTTCAACACTTCAGCTATTTTTGCAGTGCAAGCAGAGCAGGGACTGGAGGACACATACCTGAGAAGAAGAGTAGAACAAAGAGGAAAAAACAAATCTGTTTCAATGCATCTCTCATTTTATAATATGAAGAAATATGTCACATTTGTGTCAGCACACTACAACTCTTTTTGTTACCTAAATACATTTTTATTGCATATGTATTCTGATTGTTTCTTAGTTTGTTGAAAACTGATAGAGCTATGTATATTACAACAGAAACATGATATATTTGATATCCATGTGTGACTACATGGTGTATGGTCAAACATAGTTATTTTGTGTTTTATGTATTACTAATAGAATTTGACATGTTAGATGGTAGTGCCCCCCGATGAATCGCCACCTTATCGCAGTGGAGGGGTTTGAATGTTCCGGTGATCCTGGGAGCTATGTTGTTTGGGGCATTAGCCCCTGGTAGGGTCTCCCAGGGCAAATTGGTTCCAGGGGAGGGACCAGACAAAGAGCGATTCAGAAGACCTTGATGAAAACCACAAAAAGGAGAGCCGCCACCTTGCCTGGAAGAGGGGGACCGGGGCATCCACCTGGAGCCATCCCTGTGGAGGGAAGCTCGCCGGGGAGCATCTGGTGGCCAGGTCTTGTGGCCCCATTGGGCTTGGTCAGGCACAACCCAAAAAAGTAACACAGGGCCACTGCCCAGAGGGCCCACCACCCTCAGGGCAGAGAATCGGGGTCGGGTGCTATGCCCACTGGGTGGTAGGCAGGAGCGGGAATCCTGGTGTACCGCCCCCTGGTGGCATAGACTAGCTCTGGGGACATGGAATGTCACCTCACTGGCGGGGAAGAAGCCTGAGCTGGTGCGGGAGGTGGAGCATTACCCACCAGATATAGTTGGGCTCACCTCCATGCACAGCAAGGGCTCCGGAACCAAACTCCTGGAGAGAGGTTGGACTCTCTCCATTTCCGAAGTTGCCCACGGTGAGAGGCGCTGGGCGGGTGTGGGGATACTCACAAGCCTCCAGCTGAGTGCCGCCTTGCTGGAGTTCTCCCCGGAGACTGCGTGTTGCAGAGGGGAAAACTCTGACTGTCATTTGTGCTTATGCACCAAACGGCAGTTCAGAGTATCCGGCCTTCTTGGAGTCACTGGGTGGTGTCTTGGAAGGGGTGCCACCTGGGGACGCCATAGTTCTCCTGAGGGACTGCCATGCTCACGTGGGCAATGACGGTGAAACCTGGAGGGGTGTGATTGGGAGGAATGGCCTGCCTGATCTGAACCCGAGCAGTGTTTTGTTTTTGGACTTCTGTGCTAGCCACGGATTGGCCATAACAAACACCATGTTCAAACATAAGGTTGCTCATACGTGTACTTGGTACCAGAGAACCTTAGGCCAAAGGTCGATGATTGACTTTGTAGTCATATCATCAGATCTGAGGCCGTATGTTTTGGACACTTGGGTGAAGAGAGGAGCAGAGCTGTCAACTGATCACCACCTGGTGGTGAGTTGAAGCCAATGGTGGGGAAGGCTGCCGGACAGACCTGGTAAACCCAAAGTGTAGTACAGGTGAACTGGGAATGTCTGGTAGTGTCCCCTGTCCGTGGGGTTTTCCATTCCTACCTCCGGAAGAGTTTCTCCTGCATCCCGGGGGAGGTTGGGGACATGGAGTCAGAGTGGGCCATGTTCAAAGCCTCCATTGCAGAAGCGGGCATTAGGAGCTGTGGCCAGAAGGTTACTGGTGCCTGTCGTGGCGGCAACCCCAAAACCCGCTGGTGGACACCGGCGGTGAGGGAAGCCGTCAGGCTGAAGAAGGAGACCTTTCGGGCCTGGCTGGCTCGGGGGACTCCTGAAGCAGCAGGCAGGTAAAGGCTGGCCAAAAGGGCTTCAGCTGCGGCGGTCGTGGAAGCTAAAACTTGGGTGTGGGAGGAGTTCGGGGAGGCTATGGAGAAGGACTTTTGGTCGGCCTCGAAGAAGTTCTGCAAACCATCCGGTGCCTCAGAAAGGGGAGGCAGGGATTCGCCCAGGCTGTGTACAGGAGGAGAACTGCTGACCCAGACTGGGGATCTCGTCAAGTGGTGGAAGGAGCACTTTGAGGAACTCCTAAACCCAGTAAACACGTCCTCTGTTGAGGGGGCACAGCCTGAAGACTTGGGGGTTTTTGGTCCATATTTCATGGTAGAGGCCTCCGAAGTAGTTAAGAAGCTGAAAGTGCCAGGTGTGGACGAGATTCGCCCTGAGATGCTGAAGGCTCTGGACATTGTCGGACTGTCATGTCTGACACATCTCTTCAAGACCGGAGAGTGTGTGTACAACCAAAGTTGTGACCGCATTCTCTGCAATAAGTCGGACACATTCCCAGTGGCCGTTGGACTCTGCCAGGGCTGCCCCTTGTCCCTGATCCTGTTTGTGGTTTTCATGGACAGGATCTCAAGGCACAGTCAGGGTGAGGAGGGTGTCCGGTTTGGGGACCTCAGGATTGCGTCTCTGCTTCTTGCAGACGACGTGGTACTGTTGGCTTCATCAGACCATGACCTTCAGCACTCACTGGAGCAATTTGCAGCCAAGTGTGAAGTGGCGGGAATGTGGATCAGTACCTCCAAGTCTAAGGCCATGGTTCTCTGCTGGAAATCGGTGAATTGCTACCTCCCGGTGGGGGAGGAGTTGCTTCCTCAAGTGAGAGAGTTTAAGTATCTCGAGATCTTGTTCACGAGTGATGGGAAAATGGAGATGGACAGGCGGCTTTGTGCAGTGTCCACAGTAATGCGGGCGCTGTACCGGACCGTCGTGGTGAAGAGAGAGCTGAGCTGCAAGGCAAAGCTCTCGATTTACCAGTCCATCTACATCCCAACCCTCATGGTATGATGACAAGCTTTGTGTCGTGACCGAAAGAACAAGATTGTGAATAGAAATGAGCTTCCTCTGCAGGTTGGCTGGGCTCAGCGTTAGAGATAGGGTGAGGAGCTCGGACATCCGGAGGGAGCTCGGAGTAGAGCCACTGCTCCTTTGCTACAAAAGAAACCAGTTGCAGTGGTATGGACATCTGATACAGATGCCTCTGGGGAGACCTTCTCTGGAGATCTTCTGAACATGTCCACCTGGGAGGAGACCCCGGGGCAGACCCAGAACCCGCTGGAGGGATTATATCTCTCGGCTGGCCTGGGAAAACCTCGGGATCCCCCAGGCAGAGCTGAAAAGCATTGCTGGGGGGAGGGAAGTCTGGAATGACCTGCTCCGCCTACTGCCCCCGCGACCCGACCCTGGATAAGTGGAAGATGATGGATGGATGGATGGATGGATGGATGGATGGATGGATGGATGGATGGATGGTAGTGTAAATGACACAAGAGGGCTGTTGTAAATGATACTTGACCAGAGTTCCAAAATGCATATTAGATACTTTTGTGCATGAGCAGCGCTTCCTGCATTGAAGGAACATATATGTCTATAGAAATGCAAGTAACAAAATATTCAGCCATGGAAGAAAATAAAACTATTGTTTAGACTAAAAATAAGTTGTATTTTAAAGTATATACCAGGTGACTGTGCACTTGATCGCAGAGTCGCAGTGTGGGAGACACTGTGTGAAGAAGACCTCCTCTGCATGAGTCCCGGCATGCTCATCCTCCAGAAAACCTTTCAGAAGCCCGTCAGCTGTGTCCCCTCTGTCTACTAAGTAACAGAGGATTGTCTTGTTGCGGCCCGAGGAGTATTCAACATTCTTGAACTGGAACTTAAACACAAAAGGATCTACCCGGTCCCTGTGTAAAACAATGAATGAAATAAACAGTTGCATGTTAATAGTCACATCCTGACATGATGAAAAATGAACATGAGCTTGTATTATTTATATCTGAAAACAGATCCATCTGTCAGGGTGTTGTCTCAAACACTGGAGAAAATGTCTGACAGAAAGAGGAAAACTGCAACAGTTAACAGCAGTGGGAATTCCAGACCTTAATATGGATAAGAGTAACTACTACGCTGGATGTAATGCATAAAAAAGAGGAAAAAAAGCACCCATATGCTATGAGCAGAAAAAGGAAAGCTTACAAATACAAATATGGGAACAAGGCAAGGGGCAGCTAACCTGTCTCAGTGGCAAGATTCCAGGCAAAGGTGCTGGAGTTTAGCATTTAGAATTGGATTTAGCAGTAGGACAAAGCAGTATTAATTTTGGCACCTAATTTTTTTTTTCTCTGTATGACAATGTAATTGCTGTGTCGTGATCTCAGTTGTGTTTGGCACCAGTCATTAGTTAGGTGCATGCAGTGTGACAGCTTTGCCAAATGGTGTCTACAGACAAAAGGCAAAGCCATGAGCTAGCATTTGGCTAGTGCTTAAAACTGAACTTCCAACACAATAAAGTGCAGACAGAGTGAATATGTGTAATACAGTTTTACTATGCTGAAAGTAGAGTAGCTAAGCTGTTAGTTAGAAAAGCTACAATCAAGTCATGGCCAAGTAACATGACACAATCTACAGCAGGACTCCATGTAACCACACCCTCTGTTTCTGTTGTGTGAATCAAACTAACATTAAGGACAGTGTGGCGGGTGTCAAGTTGAAACTAGGAGATATCAGGATGGGGAAAGTACAGCAGTAGCACCTAAGCCAGAGCTAATTTTACACTGCATTGCTAAGACTAGAGCTCCACTGCATTATCATTAGACACGTTTTGTGTGGGCTAGCTGTAACTAGCCAGAGCAGGCTTCATCTCGTTCTTTTGAAGGCCTCTTTTTGTATTAAACACTTGGTTCTTGGACTAAATTTGCTGCAGCAGCCTGTCCTTGAGAAATTGGCAATTGTTTGAAATCTATGTCACTTGTACATGATTTTCCATAGAGTGGAATGAATGATTTATGATAGTTTGGATCTTTTTAAATCCGTTATCATCCTCAAAAGCATCCAGTCTTTTTTTTTTCTGAAAGTCTCAAAAATGTGGCATGATGATGCCACACAATTCAATAGCAAAGAGAACATCAGACCCTAGCTGTCAGAGCTTTATCTGTAGGCACTTCCAAAACAAGAATAAGTCACATTTTAGTATTAAGCCTCGTTGTCTCTACTCTTGTTTGTCTGTTAAATAGCATTATGCAGTTAATATTAACTCAACACTCCCTGTAACTTTTTCAAATTAAAAGCTCTCTCACATTCCAGTGGCCATAAATCCTTCATTTCTGTCTGTGCAGTGTACAGATAATCGACAAGTGGACTGAACATTAATGACGCCTTGTTTCTTTTTGTAAAATGCAGTATAATAACTCTGTGTTAGAGTATTCACTGAGTGCAGTAGTCAGATTATAAATTCAGATTAATAATTATGTGTTTCTGGCCATGGTGTTCTATTCTGCCTTTTCATCAACCTACTGACCTACACCTCATCAGTCCATCAGCATGCAGTATTTAAACTCCAGCTCTGCAGTCACTTGTCAGATTGCACAGTCTACTTGTGTGATGAAAAGGCCTCCTAGTTTTTGTTCACTTCTTTGCTGTCTTGTGTTCAGGCATTCAAGTTTCCATGTTACAGACAGGGCGGAAACTCAGGCGCAGAACAACAAAGACACGGTAGACAGAATCAGAATTAGTAGTTTATTTTACAAAATTGAGAATCAAACAAGCACGGTCACAAAAGCACAACCAAAACCAGGTAACATCTGGCTAGGAAGGAAACTGATAAATAAATAAATAAATAAATGTAAATACAAAGAGCTCAAGCTAAATGCTGAGTGAACTGACAGGCAAGTAACAAAAAACGCTAACACTGGCTCACGAACTAACTAACAGAGACCTGCGGACGGGCTAGTAAAATAGGAGCTACAGATTATACACTGACGAGGCAACAGAAGAACACAACAAATCTACAACGAGCAAAAAACAACATAAGGCTACGATTAGCGCAACAACCGCGACCAGCTAACAATTTGGTAGCACCATGTTCAGCTTCTTTTTTCTTGGTGTAATGAACAGCTGTCTTGGTGATCTTCAGTATTTTCACTACATTTCTCTCACTCATGCCAATTTCCAGCAGTATCAAGATGGCTGCCTTTGTGGTTTCACATAATTCTTTTCTTTTAGGCATTATGTGAGAGCTGACAACTTCTGAGTTGTGCTATGGCTTGAATGTAAGCAGGAAACAACTCCAGGCCTTTGTATGTGTAGTGCTGCTTATGACATGAAATGGCATCTTATATACCCTGGGAATACAACTTAGCTTAAGCATGTCAAATAGGACAAAAAGTATTATGTAATTAGCTGCATTTTTTGTCGTGTTCATTGTAGTCTTCAGGTAATATGCCTGTGTGGGAGGAGGAGTCTGAATGCAGGTGTAGGATGTTACAAATACTGGGACACAACAAGATACTCAAATGGAATTTGGTTCATTCTTGATTTCCAAGTAATGATTATTTTCATCACTGATTGTCTTCTGAATGAATCAATCAGCTGTTTGGCTTCCAAAATGTCAGGAAATGTTTTTTGTTGTTTGTGTTTTTTTAACTAAATAAAATAAAAAATCTGGATCAGTGTTTCCACAAATGTCTTGTTTTGTTCAAAGATGTTGCACAGACCTTGTCACCGTGGACAAGCACATCCGGGTTTATCCGAACACCAAGCCTTGGATGACCAAAGAGATGCGGAACCTGTTTCGAGAGAGGAACACCATCTTCAGGTCTGGTGATGGGGAGTTGTGTACTGCTGCCAGAGCCAATCGGAAGAAAGGCATCAGGGCATCAGAGAGGCCAAGGCTGCGTAAAGACAGAGAATCGAGGACTGCTTCCAGAGCAACGATTCCAGGCAGATGTGGCAGGGAATCCAGCACCAACTATAGACCCAGCAGCCTGTCAACGGACCACAGGAGTGCCTCACTAGCGGAGGAGCTCAACAACTTCTTCACCCGCTTTGAACTGCAGCCACCAGCCCACAGCAGCCACGTCCTGACACTGGAGGAGCAGCAGGTGAAGCGGGTGCTGAAGGTGGTGAACCCGAGGAAGGCTGAGGGTCCTGACAGCATCTCAGGACAGGTGATGAGGGACTGTGCAGATCAGCTGACTGGGGTCTTCACCACCATCTTCAACCAGTCCCTAAGTCAGGCCGCTGTCCCTCTCTGCCTAAAGTCCTCCACCATTGTCCCCCTCCCTAAGAGGAACACCATTAGTGGACTGAACAACTATCGCCCGGTGGCACTTACACCCACAGCCATTTAGTGCTTCAAAAAACTGGTCCGGGCCCACATCAGTTCTGTCTTCCCCCTGGGTTTGACTGTCACCAGTTTGCCTATCGAGCTAACAGGTCAACGGAGGATGCTGTGGCTACAGCTCTCCACTCTGCTCTGTCCCACCTGGAGCAGCAGGGGAGCAATGCTGCTCTTTGTGGACTTTAGCTCTGCATTTAATACCATCCTCCCCAGCAGATTGGTAACTAAACTGTCAGACCTGGGAGTGTCCCACTCGATCTGCCTCTGGATTTTGGATTTCCTGACGGACCACTCCCAGAGGGTGAAAGTAGGCCCTCTACCTCTCCTCGGCCATCAGCCTCAGCACCGGCTCCCCGCAGGGCTGCGCTGAGCCCACTGCTATTCATCCTCCACACTCATGACTGTGCTCCCCTCCACCACAGTAACAGCATCATTAAATTTGCGGATGACACCACTGTGGTGGGGCTCATCTCTGAGGGTGAAGAGACTGCATACCAGGACAAGGTGGAGAAACTGTCAGTGTGGTGTCAACAAAACAACTTGATCGTCAACACAGCCAAAAGCAAGGAGATTACTGTGAACTACAGAAAGAAGAAGACAGACATGCAGCCATTGCTCATCCATGGGAATTCTGTGGAGAGGGTTTCTGACATTCGCTTTTTGGGTATGCACATTAAGGATGACCTGACCTGGAGCACAAATACAGCAACCACTGTAAAGAAGGCCCAGCAGAGACTGCACTTCCTGAGGGTCCTCAGGAGCAACAACCTGCAGCAGAGGCTGCTAGTGGCCTTCTATCGCTGCTCCATAGAGAGCATCCTCAGTTACTGCATGTGTGTTTGGTTTGCCAGCTGCACAATAGCAGACAACAAGGCTCATCAAAGGGTTGTCAATACGGCCCAGAAAATCACCGGCTGTCCTCTGCCTTCCCTCAATGAACTGTACCGCTCTCGTTGCCTCAGAAAGGCACAAAATATAATCAGAGACCCCTCCGATTCTGGACATTACCGCTTGAACTTCTGCCATCAGGCAGACGCTACAGAGCACTGAAAGCAAAAACAAACAGACTCAGAAATAGTTTCTATGCAAACGCCATATATGCACTCAACTCAAGACACATCAGTAATTCTAGTGTTTATTGGGTTTTATTTAATGGTTTTATGAATGTTTTTTAATGAACATTTTGTCTTGATAGTCTTACATGTTCTGTTTGTTTTGTTTTTGTTTTATGTTAATTTATTTCTTTTTATTATTCAATAAATATGCACTTAAGGATGGCACTTTTAATTTCGTTGTTCTCATAAAATGACAGTAAAGACATTCTGATTTTAGTGGTACCAGGCATTAAAACTAACAAGAAATTAAAGAAAACAAGGGTGGTCTAAGACTTTTTTTCCATGACTGTATCTCCAAAGGCACATAAAACAATAAATTATCTCTGAAATCACTTGCAGCTGTGAAATGTCACATGTTCCCCTCTCCCTATCTGTGCACTGAGCTCTGCTGGATCTTTTGATGCTGTTGATAATTTTCCAAGAGAATTGATTGGTCAGTAGGAGGAACTTTTATATGCATTTATCTCTCATCTGGAACATAACAGGATAGCAGGAAGAATTCAATCACTGAGCTTAGATTTCCAACATGTTGACTCCATGCCAACAGCAGCTGACACCTAAAGAACTGAAATGTAATCACTAGAGAAGATCAGACACAGAAATATAATCTGTCAGTTGAACCATGTATGTTGCCAAAAATAAAACTTGAATTATAAAAACAAATGGGGACAAAGTTGCTTGGACAAATGTTGAGGATCAGTGATTGATCATAAGTCTGTTTGTGCTTCTGTCTGGCTGCTGATTGCTCAGTGCCATTGCTTTCACCCAGTGCCATTGCTTTCACCCACTTGATGAACTGTGACAGCTTGCTGCTTGTTATGTAACAGCAAGGAGGGGTATCCCTCTTAAATGGAGAGTTAGGCAACACGTGACATGAAGTGGCTGATTTGATTTCTGATTAAAAAACAAATAAAAATGGGTCATTCTTTCAGAAAAGTAGTGGAGGCAGTCCTGCTATGGATGTGGGTGGAAGGACAAGGTCTGCACAGTAGATGTTGAACTGAATCTGCATTTGGACATTTTTGTAGTGCCTGCCGTAAAACAAGCTAGGTAGTTGATTACAGGTTGTTATAGATGTTAGATAATAGAAAAAGTAAGTAATTGTAATTTTGACACAGTTTTGTAAAGGTTCTTGGCTGTCTTCAATATTCAGTATGCACGACAGTTTAAGGATGAAAGGAATAAGATTTACATCAGCACAGCAAACGCACAGCAAATGTCAAATGGCTCATCAAAGTCAACATTGCTTTAAATGCAAGCATCAGCAAAGATCAGAGGGCCTCTTCAGCCTGCTGGTGTAACCAAAAATCAAACTCATATAAAGTCGTCTACCTAAGATTAACTGTCTAAATAAACCAAAGGCAGGATGATAATGAGGCAATTCAGATATGTGCAGCCTTATCTCTATTAAAATATTCCAAAAATCATACTTGGTGATGCAAACATACCCTGTAATGGTTTCAAATGGAGGTAGTTCCATTGGCTCAACTTGAAAATCTCCATTCTGGTCACCATTGGTGGCTGCTGCCTCAGCTGATGGGCTCTTGTCATGCTCCACTGCCTTCTCTCCTTCATTCTTCACTTCTTTTACATCCATGGTCACTTCTGTAGTTTCTTTTTCCTTCCTTTTCATTTGTGTGCGACTTTTTTCAGCCATAGTGACAAAAATACTCCCTGGAAAATGTATGTCTACAGAAACTCAACAAATAGTTGAAGTGATGGGAAAAAAGACAAGATATTGATAAAGACGGGAGATGAGAACAACTGACCTGAAGGAAAAAAAATGGCTAAACTGACCAGAAGCAGAAAGGGAAGGAGACCTAGAGAGGGAGAAGGCGTGGAATGGTAGAGCAAAGGATGAAGGAAGTGCCACCAAACACACAGAGAGAGAGAGAGAGAGAGAGAGAGAGACACACACACACACACACACACACACACACACACACACACACAGATAGTTAGAGACACACAGAGAGTGAGAGAGAGAGAGAGAGAGAAGGCCTAGATCATACAGTTCAGAAATTTGTTTATAACCTAGACTGATAATAAGATTAATCTACAGTAAAATGCCAATTACATGTCTCACATGGGAAATCTGGTGTCGTGACAGGAAGCTTTCCACTGAGATAACAAATCCAGTGAAAGTCTGTAAAGCTTTGAGAGCCAGTTAAAAGAAAGAAAATGGTTCAATCTAAATATATCGTGACTGGCACCGGCCTTTAAAGGCTCATTTGGGTTGAACCACAGTAGACGTACACAAGCAGCTGCAACTCACAGTCCAAGCAGGTCTATTTAAAGAGCTTGAGGGTGGGGGTGGAAGAGCCACAAGCACATATACAACTGTGAGGACAGTTGTATATGTGCTTGTCTGCACTTTGACAAGACTAAGACTGCAGTTAATATTTTGTGCTCCATACATGCAGTATTTTTAGTCAGTGGACCATAAGCTGCATTCAGTCATTCTTAATTAAAGACAGTGCCTAATGAAAAGAGAAGTATGTCTGATGGTTGGTTTTGATTGCACGAGAGCTCTCAGTTAAATTTTTAGTATCTCACAGGCATGTCACTGGCACAGACTGACTGAAAAATGGGGTCAGTTCCCTATCTGTGCCTATATGTGGTGTTCTCATTTGAAGGCTTTACAGTGATACAGTGATTTCACTTTGTTGTAAAAGATATAGTTACATTTTTGAAAAGCTGTGCACATTGCACTTACTGTTTACTGTTTCATAAATGCAACACACTATCGTATTTTATACATAGCATAAAGGTAAAAAAAAAAAAAACATCTATGCAGTGTTATCTTCATTTTAGATTTTCTTTTTTGTGGGAAATGGGTCCAAATGGCTCTTTGAGTGTTGAAGTTTGCCGACCCCTGGGCCAGGGCATAAAAATGAATTTTCAGATGGGTTTTAAAAATGGACAGTGATGGTGCTTCTTTAACAAGCAGCAGCAAAGAATTCCAGAGAATTCAGCTGATCCGAGACACCGGGCTAGCGAATAGAGAGAAATCAGCTCAGAGAGGTACTGTGGGGCGAGACCATGTAAGGATTTCCAAACAAATAAAAGAATCTTAAAGTGAACTCAAAAATGTACAGGCAGCCAGTGAAGTGAAGCTAAAATTGATGTAATGTGGTCTCTCTTACGTGCTCCAACCAGGAGACAAGCAGCCGTGTTTTGGGCCAGTTGGAGACATGAGAGAGACGACTGACTGACTCCAAAATAAAGAGTTACAGTAATCCAGCCGGGAAATGATAAATGTATGGATTACTGTCTCGAAATGTGGAGCTGTTAAAAATGGTTTTGCTTTAGCAAGCTGACGCAAATTTAAAAAGCTTGGCTTTACCACTGAGGTTATCTGATGTTCCACTTTAAAATCAGTGTCCAATTTAAAACCCAAGTTAGAAACAGTTGGTTTTAAAAAACTAGCCAAAACACCCAAATTGACTGGAGACGTTCCATTGGAACAATTTGGCCCAAACACAATAACCTGTTTTCTTTTCATTAAAGTTTAAGAAACAGGGCCATCCAATCCTTAATGTCACAGAGATATGACACAAGTGGCTCAATAGAGAAAGCATCATTCTTTTTTTTTAGTGGCAGATAAATCTGGCTGCCGTCAGCATACAGGTGAAAGGATATGCCATGCTTTCTCCAGATGGACCCTAAAGGAAGCAGATACATCGAAAACAAGAGGGGCTCTAAAATGGATCCCTGTGGAACCCCATAGGACACTGGAGCTGTGGTAGATTCAAAGTAGTTTATGCTGACACACATAGTTCTTCCTACCAAGTATGACCTAAACCAGTCTAGTGCTACTCCTTTAATCCCCACCAAGTCTAGAAAATAGAATCTTGTGGTCCACTGTATCAAATGCTGCTGTTAAATCCAGCAGGACAAGAACCACATAATCTCCAGCATCAGTAGCCAGAAGGACGTCATTACTGACCCTCAGTAATACTGATTTTGTGCTGTGCAGCGATATAAAGCTGGACTGGAAGACTTCAAAGTTGTGGTGGTCCAAGAACAACTTAAGCTGCAGGTTGACCACTTTGGAGATTGGTCTAAAATTAGCTAATACGGTGCTGTCAAAGCCAGGTTTTTTTAAGCAAAGATTGAATTAAAAAAAGGGTCAGGAACAACACCAGCAGCCAGGCTGCTATTAATAATGGTGAGGACCGTCTGGGCTATAGTGGGGTAAATCTCTGTGGGATGGCATCTAGAGGAGAGACTGATGCCTTGATCTGTCTGACCACCTCATCTAAAAATGACAAGGGCACAGGCTCAAATTTTTCATAAACAGCTGAGCAGGGGACAGAGGTTGAAGGGTCAGAATAAGGAAGATTAATGGCAGTCCTTATGTTTGTAACCTTGTCACTAAAATTTTTCAGAAAAGTATTGCAAATCTCAGATGAAGCCTCCAAGGAGGCAGACTGTGGAGCATTAAGGACAGAGTCTATTACTTTAAACAGCAGGCAGGCTTTATCCAGCACTGATCAACGATGAGCCTCAGGTGCGGCGGAGAGTGAATGCGTCCTCTCCCATCCAACAGCCCCGCCTGTAATGATAACAGCTGAGATGATCAGTTTCACAAGCTGAGTTTACATGCTGTTTATACTTCCAGACAGCAGGTGGCGTTCGGGAGTCTGTGGGCAGTGTGTTGATGGTCAGACATGTCAGAGGTGCATGTATGTAATCCAGACCAGTCCATTATATAAAGTTACCTGCTCTTCAAGAACTACATGGTGTTGTTATTGGGGACCTACGCGACAAAAACACTACACGGTGTCAGAAGATGGACTTGAAGAGAAGTAATGGACGTGAACATGAACAACGAAGACTAGCTACAGAGGCATGCTAGCGCGGTTAGCTGCTCAGTACTGATGTATCAGCAGTGAACTTTGTGTTGCTAACCCGCCGTGAGAAAAGGAGGACTTGGCGACAATATGGACAGCTTACACCCACCACCTCGCCCTTCAGCTGACTGGGAATGTGGCTGAAAATTGGAGAAGATTTAGTCAACGCTTTGCTTTGTACCTATCAGCAATCGGACTTGATGAGGCAAGTGATAAAAAGCGAGCATCAGTGTTTTTGCATGTAGTGGGTGAGGACACATTGGAAGTCTATAATAACTTCACGTTTGCTGATGGAGACGGAATGAAACTGAATAAAATAATGGAGAAGTTTGAGGCTTGCTGTATTCCTAAGAGAAATGTGACATTCGAGAGGCACAGATTCTTCACATGCGTACAGAAGACAGGGGAGACGATCAATCAGTATGTGATAGAACTGCGGAACAGAAGCAAGACCTGTGAATTTGGAGGACTGACAGACTCCTTGATAAAGGACAGACTGGTGTGCGGGATTCCAGATAATGTGTTAAGGGAGAGACTACTGAGAGAAGAAAATCTCGACCTGGAAAAAGCATTGAAACCATGCAGAGCAGCTGAGGCTGTGAAAGTACAAGCAAAAGAACTGTTCAATCAATCTGATCAATGCCAAACCCACCCACCTGCCCACCCAGGCATCACTTTAAAGGATGTGCAACTTACAGCTGGTATACAGTCATTTTACAGATGTATGTTTACAAAACAGAAATAAGATTTACTTTTTTAAAAAGTACAAAACACACAATAATGAGAAAAAATAACTAATAATAGTAATAATTTAAAAGCAATGAAATATATATTTTAAAATAATTAAATAAATCAAATAAAAACAAATACAGATACACAAACATATAGTTAGTCATGTTCAGCATTCCTCTCATCCAGAGATATTTGTAATTCCTTAAAATAGTTTAGAAAAGGGGTCCAGGTCTCTAAGAATTGCTGAGTAGTTCTTCTTAGGGTGAATCTTATTTTTTATAATTTCAGAAAATACATTGTCTCTCTAATCCATCTTGTAAAGCCAGGTGGAGATTGTCATTTTCCAATTAAGCAGGATGCTTCTTCTTGCAATGAGAGAGGTGAAAGCAGTGACATCACGTGCATTGCTTGGTAAAGTCAATGGGCTAATTCCAAATACAGCACTTATGGGACGAGGGCACACTTTTTTCCCAAAGATTTTTGTAAATGCATAACAAACATTTGACCAGAAAATGGAAAGTGCAGGACATGACCAGAACATATGTATGTGGTCTGTTGGTTGAGCCTTGCACCGAGGGCAAGAGGGGTCTGTGTCAGGATACATGTCTGCCAGCCTTGCATTGGTGAGATGAGCTCTTAAAACCACTTTCAACTGTATCAAACCATGACCCTGAGAGTGGCCTCCCATGTTTCATCACTAATTGCTAAACCCAGGTCAGTTTCCCATCGTTTCTTGATTGTGGGATAAGCGTCATTAATTATTTTGTACAGGGTAGAGGTTAATCTTTACTTTGCAGGTGATGCTGAGAGGATTCTTTTAATTCTGTGTGACCATTCTTTCCAGAAAAAAGTGCCCATAAGCTTGTCAAGTGAACTAAAGAAGGATTTTCTTACAAAAAATGGGAATATTTTGAAAAAAATAAGAGAATTTTGGTAATACAATCATTTTCATTATATTGACCCGGTCAAAATCTAGTTTACATTTCTCTAGGAGGACAGTGAAATGTTTGGTGAAAAGTGAATACAAATTACATGTCACTTCCACTCCAAGATATTTAAAAGAGCCTTTGGCTATTTTAAATGGGGATATGTCAAGAGAACAAGTGGTGTCTTCTTGTTTCAGTGGGAATAGCAACCTTTCTTTCAGGTTGACTTCTTTTTTTTTTTTTCATTATTATATTTTTTTCAGGTGGATTTTATATCCCAAGAGCTTCCTGAATTGATCCAGTAAGTTGATAATAAAAGAGAGAGAAGATTTT